ATAGACTCATAGTCTCATCTGGAAGGGTCGGCAAGTCTATCTTCCTTACACCTTACCACATGAGCACAAAACCTTGTAGTAACTAGATCTAGAAAGAGGATCTAAAAATTCTCTAAACGAAGGAATTGCTGAATAAAATGTTGATTTCTCTTTATACATTGTTCTTATGCTCCACTTCCTCAGTAGATCAGCCAATTTTTTCACAAGCTCACAGGATGGCAAAATCGGGAACCGAGTAAAATTATCCAATTATCTATCCCGCCTCTGATAGAAAACTACCCTCAGTTTGTTAACTACGATTGATTTAGAATTTTCTACTAATCCTAAAGGGAAATTGTTTTGAAACAGTATATACCTCAAGCTACTAATCTCCTCGTCTCTGTGGTTTACATCTGCTGGACGCAGACTCCCTATTATCAAAGACTTAATAACTTCTATTTCGACTCTCTATGTTTGGTTTGGGAAAAAATTTAATAAGGAAACCCGCGTCTGTGGGTTCGCTCATTAGATTAGTCAGTTTGGCAATGTACAATACCTTCATTGACAAGTTGTATAAGCAGACACGGGGTTTGGCTATGGGATCCCGTTTACCTCCAAATTAGTAGTTCATGTGTTTCAAGCGAAATTCCTAGTTCCTAACTTATTAGTTCGCAACATATGGACGATTATTTTCTGTTTGCTAACACGACAATGATACTTCAGGTGAATTCCTTGAGCTAATAAATAGAATAGATGCAAATACTAAGGACATGATGGAGTTGAAAAGGTAAATAAATGGTCTCTTTTGTATGCATAAATGAGTAAAGAAGATAACAAGTTAAGTAGATATGTATAAAGGAAAACCCCAGACGCGGGTTTCCTTATTAATTTTTGCCCAAACCATACATAGAGAGTCGAAATAGAAGTTATGAAGTCTATGATAATAGGGAGTCTGCGTCTAGCAGATGTAAACCACATAGACCAGGAGATTAGTAGATTGAGGTATATGTTGTTTCAGAACAATTACCTTTTAGGATTAGTTGACAAT